TCAAAAATTGCTTTATCCGATGCTCGCCCACCAAATGGCTCACTAATATAGGTAATTAACCCACCAGGGGAAATACCAATTAAAAATTTCAAAGTAAATGTAGACTTATAATTACTGTATACTTTAATGCGACAAGTTAAGCATTTTGGCCGTTGTACAGAAATTTCTGTGCAATCTAATACAACTCTGGTGTTGATAAATTTTTCAAAGCAATATGGAATATTGTTTGAAATTTCATATCTTGATGGCCAGTAAATAACATGTTTTAAAATAATAGCTATTAAAGGAATATTTGAAACATACACTAAATGACARGTTTCCGCAGTAAGATTTTTAAAAAAAATTAACAAGACTGCAAATGATAAATCTTGTTTTAATTTAAAAAAAATWAATATGATTCTTTCCTTAATACTTGGAWGATGTGTTCTGGTGTCTAGATAATTCCCACTAAAAAGCTCTACAATTTTTTCTAAAACTGAAAATGTAGGTATTCCAGTCATAGTCACTAACTTTTTTTGTGAATCAATTAAATTAATGAAAGGAACAAATATATCCCMGACAGAAACTTGAACTTCCTTATCATTTTGCAGTATTCTTTGAATGCCTTCAATTTGTTGCTGATCATGGTCATTTGTAGTCTCTATAAATGAAGGACTGGTGGACATTACGTTATGATGTGATGACGTGATGTGATACTGGATAAATCAAATTTCTTTGAACTCTAAAGAAAATGTTTTACATTTAATTTTAATGTACAGGATTTGATACTTAAACACATTTGTATAAATATATATCACATATTATATTTAAATTGTGTTAAAATTAATAGAACACTTTTTACATTTACTATTGATATTCTTTTTTTGGGAGAAGCAATATTTCTTGAAGATAATCTTTTCTTTGGAGAAATAAATGGAACTGATGATTTTGGTAAGTTAATATTTGGAACTGCGTATTTTTTCAGGCATTTTCAATCTGCTTTTATTGAACTAATAAAAAAATAAAATAATTACCTACACTAAAAACATTCAAATAAAGTTGGAGGGAAGTTCTCTAATACTATTTCACTAACTAGAGTACTAACCTAGGACAAATATAATTATCTTCTGAAAAATGTTTTGAATATATTTGCAATCTTTTTTTTTTTTGTAAGGTTTTTTTATCCATTCGTAAATTTATTGCCCATATTCGTCTTTTATCAACAAGTTCTTCAACTCCAAGCTTATTCAACCATATAATTTTTAATTCATTTTCTTTCGGAAATTGATGAAAACTTATGCCTTCACAAGTTGAAAACCTCGAGTTACAATCAAACACAGAGCAAAAATTATGGTTTCTCTTTGGTTGTGTCATAGTTTAGTCTAAAACGAATGGTTTAAATAAAATGGTAAACATGGCATTTTTTAGTTTTATTCATTAAATAAAGTACGTACTTACTATAACTGTTGGATCTTGGATAATGGTAGTAACAAAAAAGTTTATTATATGATTTATTGTGTTTATATAATTAAATACCTAATATATTATGCCTCACATTGACTTAATATATTTTTCATGTAGTTATATARTATGTTCCTWGTACCTAATACCTATTGGCTACTACAACTACCTGCATGATAAAATATTAATTATCTTTAATAATCATTAATCAATATAATTCAATAATAAAATCAATGTACCATCGGGCTCTGGACACTTTTAAATGTTATCAATAATAAGCGGCCATCTTTTTGGAGGAAGATAATATCAATATTATTTTGTGATAATATTGTTTTGACATTTACTAGTTGTTTACATTGTGTTGTAACGGTTAACCTTTCGAGTTTTCAGTTTAAGTTTAAAATTTTTAAAAYCTATTAATTTATTCTGTGGTTCTATAAACTGTATTGGCTATAATGGTGCTGGTATTTATTGTAAAAAATTGCAGAAATGCCAAATCAATAACTAAGGAAAAAAATTGCAACCTTTTTAGAATACCCAAAGATTTGGATCGGTAAGTAATTTATCAAAACAATATTATGATTATATTAGTTCATTTTTAACGAACATAAAATAATTTACAGGTCTAAAGAATTGTTAATTAAATGTGGTAGAGCAGAACTTTGTTCAAAATCTGTTGACAACCTCTACAACAATTATAGAGTGTGTATGAA